CATACTAGGAGGGAGCCTATCGTCTTTACTGACCGGGATCTCCCTCCTACCGGTGAAGATCACAATGATCCATTGGTCATCACCATGGACATTAATGGGGTGGATGTCGCCCGGGTACTTGTTGACACCGGCAGCAGTGTCAACATCTTATACCTGGAGACCTTCCAAAAACTCAGGTTGTGTCGAACACAACTTGAACCCCTCAAAACCCCTCTCTCAGGCTTCACGGGGGACACCGTTGAAGCTGAAGGGTCCATAGTTCTACCGGTCGAACTAGGATCAGGTGAAAAGACCGTGTGGAAGAAGATGCGGTTCATAGTTGTGGACATCAAATGCGTCCACAACGCAATTCTTGGAAGGCCAGGCATCAATAAAGTCGGGGCGGTGATTTCCATGCCTCATCTATGCATGAAATTCCACACTCCAGGTGGTGTGGGTGAGGTGAAGGGCGACCAGAGGAACGCCCGGGAGTGCTATGCCCGGGCAGTCAAGAAAATGACCAGGGGGGTCAATGTCATCTCCCAAGAGATCACGAAGGGAGAGACTCGGGAGAAACTGGAGCCCGAGGCTGAGACGGTGGAAATCGAACTTCACCCGGGCGATTCTTCGAGCATGGTCAGAATTGGAGCAAATCTCCCCGAGGATCTCAAGGAGCAAATTACGCGGGTCCTCCAAGAATACGCGGGCATATTCGCGTGGAGCGTGGCGGATATGCCTGGGATAGATCGCTCTGTTATCTGCCACCGGTTGGCCGTGAGGGAGGGAAGTCGACCGGCACGCCAAAAGAAGCGGTACCTGGCCAGTGACCGGCGAGACTTCGTCAAGAAGGAAGTGAAAGACCTCCTCAGTGTTGGTCACATCCGGGAAGTCAAGTACCCGGATTGGCTGGCCAACGTTGTCCTTGCTCCCAAGGGCGACACGTGGAGAATGTGTGTGGATTATACGGACTTGAACAAGGCTTGTCTGATGGATTCATACCCCCTCCCCAGTCCGGATCAAATGGTGGACGAAACTGCGGGGTGCGAACTCCTAAGTTTCGTGGATGCCTTCAAGGGTTACCACCAAATCTACATGGCCAAGGAAGATGAAGAGAAGACGTCATTCCTCACACCCGAAGGAACCTACTGCTACCGGGTAATGGCGTTTGGCTTGAAGAACTTGGGGGCAACCTACCAGCGCATGGTGAACAAGCTCTTCAAGCCACTACTGGGAAAGACCATGGAGGCATACGTCGACGTCATGCTGATCAAAAGCCAGGTATCTCTGAACCACCCGGCTGATATGCGAGCCACGTTCGATATCATGGCAAAGTACAACCTCCGGCTGAATCCTAAGAAATGCGTCTTCGCGGTTCGTACCGGGAAGTTCTTGGGATTCATGGTGACCAAGAGAGGAATAGAGCCCAACCCAGAAAAAATCCGGGCTATCACTGAAATGCAAGCCCCTACCTCCGTTAGGGATGTTCAAAAGTTGACCGGTCGTTTAGCGGCCCTCAGCCGGTTCCTTTCCCGGTCAGCTGAGAGATCCTTGCCCTTCTTCAAAGTTCTGAAGAAGGCCAACGCATTTGCATGGGACGAAGAATGCCGGAGGGCATTCGAGGAGCTGAAAGAGTACCTAGCGTCGAATATTGTATTGTCTAAACCCGAACCGGGTGAAACTCTGTATCTGTACTTGGGAATTTCCCCAAATGCTGTAAGCTCCGTTTTAATAAGAGATGATGGGGCACAAAAGCCCATTTATTATGTGAGCAAAGCACTAAACGGGGCTGAGAGTAGATATACGGCGATGGAAAAGACAGCCTATGCGCTTTTCATCTCCGCAAAAAAGTTAACCATCCTACTTCCAAGCTCACCCGGTAGAAGTCTTGACTGACCAACCGCTGGGTGCAGTGTTGCGAAATTCAACATCCTCCGGGAGGATGGTGAAGTGGGCGATGATGTTAACTCAATTCCACATTGAGTACCGGCCGAGGTCGGCAATTAAGGGACAGGCCCTTGCTGACTTCCTAGTAGAAATGACCGGTCTAACTCCAGACTTACCGGTCAACAAGCCCACTGAGCAATGGTGGGAGATGGCAGTTGATGGGGCATCC